TTGAATTTAGTAATAGAATTAAACTAAAAACTGGTAGAAAACCATTTTGACTTTCTATTTGATCAAATATCAGTCTAGGTGATATGAGAGATGCTAATGGAGAAGGGGCGATAGCTGCATTTAGAAAATACATCATTTTGGGATCATTTTGAGAGAGAACTAATTAATGTTTCATTTGGTTCATGCTCAGCTATCAGCTCTTTTAATATTAGAATTGACAAGTTGCCTTTTAATATTAAAGAAGGGTAAATTCATAGCCTATAACTGAGACCATGAAGATGTAAAAATTATTAACCTTCAAAACAACTGAGTCCTGAAACAGCTGAATCTACTGTAAAAGCAAAGCCATTCTCTTGATGCTACACATTTTCCTAAAGGTAGGAATTGGCCTAAATATAAAGTTCAAATATGTAAACACGAATTCTAGTCTGACACCATAAATTAAGCAAAATCTATTCTATTTTTTTTTTTTTTTGAAACCCACTGATTTCTCTTCTGGTTTAACTAGTTACTTGTCTGATACTTAAACCATAACTTTTTTGCAAAAAGTTTTACTTACCTTTCTTACTTGCTTTTACCTCCTGCATATTATACCTTTGATCATATTTTTATTTATTTATTTATTTATTGTTTTTGAGACAGAGTCTCACTCTGTTGTCCCTGCTAGAGTGCCGTGGCGTCAGCCTAGCTCACAGCAACCTCAAACTCCTGTGCTCAAGCAATCCTGCCTCAGCCTGCCTAGTAGCTGGGACTACAGGCATGCACCACCATGCCCGGCTAATTTTTTCTATTTTTGGTAGAGATAGGGTCTTGCTCTTGTTCAGGCTGGTCTCAAACTCCTGAGCTTAAATGATCCGCCCACCTCAGCCTCCCAGAGTGCCTCTTTCTTCTTTTGCTTGGTACTTCATCCTAGAGAAATGTCTTAGGATTTGTGGGAATTAAATCCTGAGTCCTTTCATGATTCAAGGTGCCTTAATTCCTGTCTTAAACTTGACTGATACTTTTTTATAGAATTCTAGGGGGAGAAATCAAATTTACACAGAATTTATATTTTAGAATTTATTATTGTTGATGAGAAAGTTGATGCTAGGCTGATTCTTCTCCATTTTTAGGTCACCTGTTCTTCCCCTGCCCCTTTCCTGTAGGGTCTTTTCTTTATTCTTCCTCTTCTGAAATTTCAGAGTTGTGTAAACTCTTCTAATGTTCCATTTCTAGTTGATGTATACCCTTTGGGTTTAAAGACTTCACCCGTAGGAAATTTTCCTTTTTAATAACTTCTCTCTGTTTAATATTCTCTTATTTATCTATTTATTTTAAAAAGAGCCAGAGTTTCCCAGACTGGAGTGCAGTGGTACAATCACAGGTCTCTGCAACCTCCAACTTCTGAGCTCAGGGTATCCTCCTGCCTCAGTTTCTTGCATAGCTAGGGGTAAAAGCATGTGGTGCCACGCATGGCTAATTTAAAAAAAATTATTCTGTATAGATGAGGTCTCATTTTGTTGCCCAGGCTGGTCTCAAACTCCTGGCTTCAAGCAATCCTCCCAAAGTACTAGGGTTGGCCTTGGCCTTGGCCTCCCAAAGTACTAGGGTTATAGGTGTGAATCATCATTCTTAGCCTGTATTCTCTCGTTCTTTAGAATTTGTTTTTTTGGTTTTTTTTGAGACAGAGTCTCACTTTGTTGCCCAGGCTAGAGTGAGTGCCATGGCGTCAGCCTGGCTCACAGCAACCTCAGTCTCCGGGGCTCAGCGATTCTACTGCCTCAGCCTCCCGAGTAGCTGGGACTACAGGCATGCGCCACCAT